AGTCTGAGCACTCATCAGTAGAAACTGAGTGGGACTATGAAAAAGATTTATATGGCCTCTTTGACTACATTGGGCTGAAATAACAGATGCCAAAATAAACAGTCTTGCAAGAGAGTTTTGAGTCTAAACTGGAAGCATTACATGAGAGGACAAATGATCCCACTGTATGAATTACATGGTCACTTTTCTTCTGGTCAGAAGTTTACTGGGTGTTTTAAGTAGGTAAGAAGAAATGCTTGAATATGAAACATCATAAGCCATTTTAAATTTCACCGCTTCTGACACTGTACCGCAAGTGCACAAAGCAGTTGAATTAGGGGAGGGTAGTGTTTTGGCATTGTGAGTGCATTGGTGGAGTGTGTGTATATTTATGAAACAAATACAGGATTAGAAATTCGGAGTATAATAAAGCTACAGCTGTATTTAAACTGATTTCTAAGTGCTAAGATTGGACAAAGAAAAGGATGAGAAGATACGAAGAACAATACTAAAGACAAAGAGCTGACATTTTCAAATTTTTTTCTGAAGTGACTCCTTTGAAATACTAGTTGTGATTAAGCACCAAAGTCTTACAATTAAACAAAGGCAAAGTTCCCCTCCCCATTTTTTGGGTCTATAAGCAAGACTAAAATACAGTATTAAAGATGCAAAATTTTTCAGTATTTTGTCCATTAGTTTCTGCAGGCATACATAGCCACTCCTAAATGCAGGATTATCAAGAGATTTCACAAAGGAATGGAGGACTAGAAGAAACCTCCTACAGGAGCAAGTCTAGTTTCTTACCACAATAGGAAACAACATAATAATCTTTGATAAATTTATTCAGGTTGCTCTTAAAATGGCTAGGTATCTGTTACCCTTTATCTCCTGTTTGAAAACTTTCCAGAATTGGATTTGGTTTTCCCAATTCCTAGTCAGTTTGTTCAGGTACAGCTTTTACTCAGCTGTTCTCATGCTAACGTTGTTTTTTAGCTTAAATATTTCTTGGTGTTTATCCCTTTTTCCTCTTTGTTACCACCAGTAAGGAATTTAGGTAGGACCCTTTCCATTCGGGAGAGAGTCACCTACCTACAGCCTGTCTGTCAGGGTAACTGAACAGGCACCAGGCATGGGCAATCAGTGCCATATTAGCCAGACAAAATCACATTGATCATTAGTTGCCTAGAGAATAGCCCAAACATCCTTGAGTGACTGGGGATCACTTCAGGAAAGCAACCTGCTCTTCCTACATTTTGTGCTTTTAATTTTTTAAAAATTATTTATTTAAGCATTTTGTGCTTCTTATTTATTTATATTTGTGTAATGGGCACATTCCAATTCCCTCTAGCTATCTGCTTGAGCTAGCCGATTTTAAGTTTCCTGCAGCTTATTCCCAGTAATCTAATTACAAAACTAGAGCAATTCAAGAAAGACTTTACATTCCATTCCATACTTTGCATACTGGTGGATGGAAGCAACACTTTTATTGCCTCTGATTTTGTGTGTGTAATTTTTCCGTGTTTATCGCAGTCAAAAACCCAGTGGTTCAGGGAGACATGTAAGCTATCTAGGCCAACGTTTTGGACCTACACCTTTTTTTGCATTCCAGAGAGTATGTAGTATTCAGTGACTTTTTAATTATTATTTGTTTGTTTCCTTGTCTTGGGTGGAAGGAGATCTTCTGTATCTTCATGGTTTTGTTTTTCATGGCTATTTCACTTTGGCATCCTGTGGTGATTCTGCAATCCTCTGGTAAGCCAAACCCCTTCATTCTCCTTAATTTTTTCTGACTGATTTCCCAGTTCATGTATGTATTTTTCCCTTGGATACACAACTTTTCAGTCTTCACTGTTTAATTTCTTCCCATTCTCATTTATCGCATCAACAAATTGAATCAACAATAAAGCACTTATATTTTTAAAGAATGAAACGTAGTTTATTTTTGTGACAGTTTTTTCATTTTGCTAATTACAATATTCTTTTAGGTTTTGTAAGCAGATACAACTATCACAAATTACTTCAATTTCTCACTTTTTTGTTTTTTCTTTTTTGACTGGGAGAAGGAAGAAATAACAAGTTGAGTCCATGTTGCCTTGATACAAAGGTAGGATACTTTGCTACTGGGATAATTTTTCTCTGTTTTTCACGGCTTTGGAGTAGATCATCTACCTGACCAGAAGCTGAGCCGAGTCAGCTCAGCTAGCAAAGTCAGTGTTAAGTCAGTGTTAGTCAAGGTGGTATTTAGCCTGCTTCAGTCATATTAGTTCTCTGGATGTTTCAGCATTGTTATACAGACTCCGTGTCTGCTATCACCATAAAAATATGGTAGCGGTTTCTAGACAAACTGAATTTACACAGCCTGTTCTATTGTGGTGAATGAATATATGTGGAAATGTTGAGACTAATGTAATGATAAGGGTTAAAAAAATTGTGGCTCATAGAGGTAACAGTGAAGTAAAAGTGCTCACCACACTCATGCAGCTGTTGAATTCTTGTTCAGAAATGTCCCTGGAGGCTGC